GTATTTGCAAAAACTATCTCCTAAACATTTTTACACAACTAGATATTCTCTTAAAACACTATTACAGGCCTCTAGTTGGCTTTGACTTTACCAAAATTCATTGCTCTCGTTGACAACTATATAGCCAGGGAAAATTTCAAACTAAGAATTAATTCAAAGTTGTTTTGCTACACCTTTTCTCCACCCCACCAAAACAGACTGCCACTGGGAAGAATAACTCGGAATCATCTGTTGAATGATGATATAGTCAATGGTCATTTAGAGCATATTACACTGGAAGTCTGGTAGTAAACACAACCAGTAAGGACTTCTTTTAAAGAATTCAGTCACTGCATGTGCTCAGTGTTTTTCACGTTTTTCTAGATGAACACCAATAAGGATATGTTATCACTAACAGAATCTAGACAGGCGAGTCAGGTGAAACTAATAAAAGTTTGAAAGCATATGACATATAAATGATCTCGGTGATGACTGCTGCTACCCTTGTAGTTTATAGACATTTTTATGTCCTACTTTGAAATTATAATCATACCATACTATTATGACTAAAAAGTAGAATATAGCAACCACTTTTATTTTATGTTACTTTCAGCCTGAGTCAAACCCAAAGCCTCTTTTCTTTAAATTACTAAAGTTGGTTGCATAGGTCATATAATGAGAATTATTCTGAATGAATGAATGAAAAAAATACTGCTATTTGCAGATCTCTCCTGTCTCACCCGCTGCTCCCCTCAGCAGTATAAATTATTGATCTGCCTGTTCTGCTCCCCACTGTTTTCTGGTGAATCCTCTCACTGCCCCTGCACCTCTGGCCCATACCCCAGTTCTGTATGCATAAATAAAAATAAATCTTAAAAAAAATTGCTATTTGGAAGTCAATACTATATAATATCTACTTAGAAGCGGTAAAAGCAACTTTTGAAAAAGTCAATATCCTAATATCCAAACCGTGAATTTCAGACTCAAATCCTCAGGAAAAGCTTTTCAGATTCTCCAGGGTATATTTATCTTTTGACACAGTTTCTGCAAATTTGGTCATGTTTCTAAATCCACAGAAATTTAAAATAGGGAAAGAGTTCTTCCCTTTTTTTGCCAATGTGGTGAGGATAGCTGACTTCCTCACCTTGTCATCTCACAAGACTACAGGACCAAGTGGCTAAAGCAGAATCATGTCACTGCCCAATGGATGTGAATGAAGACTTAATAAAATCAGCTATAACTCCAGGAGGAGACACTGAGGAAGAACCCAGCTGACTCCATAAGGACTCACACATGAGACATGCACATATTCTTGCTGTGTCAAAGTCTCAAGCATCCTGCCCTATCAAGCTGAAATGTCACCAGTACCTAGCTGGTTGGACATGGCTTTTCTCTTTGTATTCATGCTTTTGCACATGTTTGTTCAGTGTAAAATCTTTTTGAAAACTAAATAAAAAATAGTAAATAAACTAAAGAAAAAAATGGACAAAGAGAGCTACTTGCTACTGAAGCTAAGAAGTGATGGTGAAACAAATTCCTCTGGAACAAAGTGGTTAGGCCATTTATAGCTCTATAAAGTTGTAGTCCCAACAGCATCAGATATAATACCTTAATTTAACAGATGAAGTTATCATTCTTGAGTTCCTTAAGCAGAAGAGATTTAACATAAATCATCTAGAATACCACGCAAACAATTCTGCAAAAAGTTGAAGGGAGCAAGATTTTGCTTGATTTCCCAAAGGATCAGCTGAAAAATATTTCTTTACTATAACAGGAAATAACTTAGAAAGTGCATCGGATTTACCTCGTAATACTCCCCAAACTCTGTTGGCCTTGAGGACAGCCACGGGTCCTTTCACATTTAAAGTATCTAAATTGAAAAATAAGTTTATCTGTTAATTCCCAAATAACACAGTGAGTTTTCTAAGCATATAACTGGTATTTCTTACATTCTTTTTTTTTAATTGAGGTATAATTGACATTCAACATTATACTGGTTTCAGGTATACAACATAACTATTCCCTCACCACCCTACCTATTCCCATCCGTATTCCTCACTCTGGCAACTACCAATCTGTTCTCATTATGTATGAGCTTGGACTTTCTTTTTCTTATTTTTAAGATTCTGTATGAGATGTTATGGTATTTGGTTTTATCTCACTTACTCCCTCAGCTATTGCCCTCAAGTTCCATTCATGCTGTTACAAACGGCAAGCCTTCACTGTTATTTAAGATGAACATTCACCATTCTGCAGCCATCAGTTCATCTGCATGCATTTAATGACATAATGACTTTTTGGTAAACTACAAAGCACAGATACTATCTGGTTACAACAGGTTATATGATATGGCCTGAGAGTATAATAGGCTGTACTATCTCAGTTTATATAATTATTTTACTATTTACACACCAGTTAGCTTATTATGCACTTCTTGGAATGCATCCCTTTCAAGTAGTGAGTAACTGTGGGCCACAACATTTAAATCCACTCATCCACCTGTGGACAATCAGGTTATTCCCATGTCCTGGTTATTTTAAAATGCTCCAATGAACACAGAATTACTGCTATCCTTTTCAAATCAGCGATTTTGGTTTTCTTGGGAAATTTCCACTTTCTAGAAGTAGAAATGCAGAATGACACAATTTCATAAGTTTCTGAAAAACCTCCAGTGTTTTCCATTGTGGAAATTGATAATTCCCACCATTATTTACATTGCCATTAACAGTGCAGAAAGTACTTTATAGCGTCACCACTGTTTACCTTTTGTCTTTTTGTAACAAGCTAAAATTTTAATAGGTATAACTCACTGTGTTAGATTTGCGTTTTCTTGAGGAGTGGTGAAGAGCATGTTTTCATGTAGCTATTGGTCTGCAACATCCTTTCACTGAGCTCCAGACCTGCTGTTCCCACCGGCTCTTGTACATCTTCCCTCAGCTATCCTGGCTCCTTTAATTCCACATACCTGCATGAAACTTGTCCCTGTCCTGCTCCACACTTTACCCAGTCTCCTTTTCTCCTCTAAATCATCACCCTCTAGTCAGCTGAGTGGCTCTAGTCAGGAACTTGGGAACTAACTCCGTGACTCCTCATTTTCCCTCCAGGAGAGTTATTCTCTCCGACTTCCCCTCAACAGTCTACGGTGAAGATTTTAAGTCAAAACTGCAACTATTTTTGGACACCCACAATTCCTTGGTGACACCTCCAATATGACTCAAACCCTCAATTTTCCCTTCTCTGCTTCCCCAATTGCTCTGTACACACTTTCCCCCAATATCACTTTAACTCTGCTTCAAGATTCTCTTCCTCACTCACATTAATTCAGCTTTGTCCCACTTAGTAAAAAGGTTCACACGTACATAGGACAGGGCACCAGTGGGCTGCCTTCTGGAAAACGGGGGGTGGAAGTTACAGGGCAGGTAACCTTTCTGTTACATCGCTCTGCCTAAGAGCTTAGTAGTCACCTGGATCTATTAGAGAAGTTTGGGGAAGAATCAACCACCAATAACAAGCAAAAGACAGAACAGACTGATTGTTAGAAGCTGTGGCACATGGACTCTGCCAGGTAAAAACACTCTAGGGCAGCAGCTTAATGATTCAAAAACATTATCTGTGCTAAATCACAGCCAACAATCATATGACTCTCTCAAGTGTCTGCTGACAAGGGAGCTTTTTCCACCAGGAAGTCACAGTGACAGGTTACATAAAAGCCAAGCTAAAAATCATGAAGCGATGAGGAGTTTTCTCTTCGTGGATATCAAATTCTTAGCTACATAAAGCTCATCATTCCATTGGTCACTGTTTAAAAAACATGTTTTTGCCATTTGTGATTCTGAGGTCTCCCAGAACTACTCAGCAGAGTTATCTAAACGCATTGACAAAGTGCACATACTGGATGCTGATAATTTTCCAATACTAAGGAGTGGCTGATATAAAAAAGGATTCCAATTCAACTCAGTGCAAAAATCACAAATATACAACAGGTGATTTTGTATTCCAAGTATATGGAAAAGGGAGATTTAATATATAAATGACATCCTATTGTCCACATTAATACAGATGCTCCACATTCTATTTATAATTCAGCTTCTTTATTTCGAACTGTAGTATAATATTCTTAAGTGTGAATCAACAAAATATATTTAACCTTTGTTCTATGATGAACACTTAGTTTTGTTACAGTGTAGTATTAGAGGCCAACTGTATCAGACATCCTGGATATAAGTAATTCTCTACTGTAGAAATTAGTCCACTTGTGAGAATACACATATTTTTAATAGATAATGCTGTGATACCTGCCACTTCCTCCATTTCCTCCCCCAGAGCAATAATTGATAGCTTATCTGTGTTCATCATCATGAATTAGTTTAACACTTAAAATTAATTTATCCTTTCACGAGAAAACTTCATGATGATCTTATGTCAGGAAGTTTCCATCTCAGAATAAAGATTTATGAAGCAGATGAAGATACACTACCCCTCCAGTCTTGATAAGACTTTTCTGAAATTTACCATAGGTCATCTGTATTACTAGCCCACAGCAAAGATGGCCAATCATGTGTTTCTCAATTCGGATTGCAACACCCCTGAAAGCTGTCAGCTGAAATCACGTGTCTGATAACAGCAAGCAAAGCTGTTTCTTTTTGAAGAACTGCTGCTGTACAGCTACAGTATTGAAGAGTAGTGAAGTTACTCTTCAGCTAGATGTATTAACAAATCTCACCTACCCCTAGACCATGGTGAGGTGTTTAACTGTCTGAAACAACCTGAGGACAAAAGCGTCCTTTCCTCTAAGATACACATCATCCTTTGTCTTTCCACCCAAATCAGCCAGCCGTTCACACTAGTATCTGCGTATCTCCTTTGGTGCTTCGATGGCCATGCCCCATTATTCCCAGGCGGTCAGTAGTCCATAAAGCTGCCCAATTATTTATTCCTTCCAAAATAATTTGGAAAAGGCCCTAGAAAACAATGTTTCAGGCACCAAAAGTCACCTAGCTAAATGCTTGTTACATTATTAATCAAATGAAGTAGCTCTTTTCCCCACACCTTTTTTTCTGCATTTATTTTTGTGTCAGATTATAAAGATCATGGATATACCTAGATCTGTCTTTAAAATAAAAGTAAATTTAGTCAGAAAATAAGGGATTAAACAAGTTAGTTATGACAAATCCACACAACAGTAAAACATTATTCAGCTATTAAAAAATAAGAAAAATATTTAGTGATTTATAATGTACGAATACAAAAAAAACAAAATATAAAAAGCCCATGGACAGAATTACCCATATTCATGGCAATGCTTATCATGTTTATATGTAAATTGATGTAAAATATTTAAGCATTTTACTCTGTTAAAAAAAAAATCTGAAATACTTTTGACTGCTAGGGTTATGAGTGATTGATTTCCTTGTCATGTACTTGACATTCCCTGTCTGGTACATTATTTATGGAATCATTCTAATGGTAATTTTAAAACCAGGAATTACCAACTCACTGGTCTAGAACTCAATCTTTCGTGGCAGGGAGCCTGTTACTGGTACTCAAGTTCTTAACAAGCAGCTCTAAATACGATACAGTCACATCATACAGGTACTTACAGGACTCATCTGAAGAAATATTGGGGAAACTGTTGCACTCTGAGTCAAGGACAACTGAGACCACAAGTTGCTGTAACTGCGTTTCATTATAAAATTTAGCTGGACCATGATTCCACTTGTTGTAACCAAAAATATACTCATAATATCTGCATGAGAGATAAAATAATTAAAAAGAATTTTAAAGCATTATAGTAAAATATACATAGAAAGTAGTGGTCATTGTAGCTGACCCCTCAAATCCAAGTATTAGTCCAATCAAAATTCCACAAATTTCCCTTGAATTCCCAAGTGACTCATAAAATCCCTATTAAGAAGTAGAAATCAGGGCCTCCCTGATGGTGCAGGGGTTAAAGTCTCAGCTATCAAGTTATCCCCAGCCAGGGAGCTGACCCGAAAGGCGCATCCATCCCTGCTCCTTTCAGCAGTTGGTTTTAGCTGATATGTCTGTTATGCACCCCACTCTGTCTCTGATGAATCCTCTCAACCCCCCACGCCTACACCCCAATTCTTGTATACTTTTTTTAAAGAACTAGAAATCAAACCAGTAATAGTAATCCCATCACTCTTGATAACCAAGGGTGTGGGAAGAGTTGGTGGTATTCTCCTCCAAAATGAGCCAGAAGAACCGGATGCAGCCACACTAAAGACTGGAGAGCAGTGAAGGAAGGAATACCTTCCCTAATGAGCCATTCTGTCTACTAGCCCTGATGTCTTCTTCCCTGCTCTGGACTTCCTGATATGTTAAACAGGGTTTTATTGCTGGAGCCAGAGACTGAGTTAGGTGAGTCTTGCTCCCTTCCAACAAAAACACTAATATATCAACCCCAAAAAGGGTATCATTAGCATAAAAAATACTACTGTGGTATGAAAAATTTACCTTCTGCTGGTATCAAAATATCAGAGGAAGAGGATATTAAACAAATATTTAAAGGTGGTAAGAGATGAAATATCAAACTTCAAGGCAATCTTAAGTCTTACACATTCTGACACTGTTTCTGCTACTGATTCAATAAGAATAGCTTGCATTTTTCCAGAGAGATAAGGAGAGGTTGGAAAGCTCTGATGAATATGGGCATGTATGGAAGTTAACTAGTGAGAGAGGAGATGAGTGGTACTAAGGCCCATTGTCACAGAGGATCAACAGATTCAAAAGGATACTAAAATCACTAAACTGTTATGTACTTAAAGGGTTAAGATGGTAAATTTTAGTTTGTGTTAATTTTGCCACCACTAACTTTTTTAAAAAAGGAAACTAAAGCTGTCAGCATCTTTGAGATCTTAGCAATGGGCTAGCTCATCCCAAGTAAGGAAAACCGCAGTCCTGGATAATTAAAACGCTTACAGAAAACTCAGGGATCAGAGGCAGTAATGTTTAAGGTGTCTGGGTTACTTTAAGGAGCAGAGGAAAGCTGTTCATTTGAAAAAATGGCCAAGTAGCACATGATGGACCTTGTCCTAGAGGGCAGGAAACACCCTCCCTGCAAATGCACTGCTTCAAAGCAGGGTTTGTCACAGAAGTGGGGCTCTTCAGACAGGAGCCACGGGGTTCTGAACACTTACAGACAGGAGCCACAGGGTTCTGAACAACCTAGGGCCTCAGTTCCTAACTTCTAGAACTTTTGGAATAGCCCCTAATGGGTAACTCCTAACTCTACTGGGTTTTTACTCTGAAGCAGATACTGCCCTTCCCCAGTTCCCCAACACTCACCCAAATGTTTGCAAGTCTTAGCCACAGGTATAATGTTTTACAGCCTGCTTCCTAACAATGCAGGGTGTAATTTTAACAGCTGCTTCTCACATACTCCACGATTTAGTGAGGCAAACTCACCAGATAATCACCTGTAATGCCTTCAAATGCCAAGCCTTGTTTTTAACCATCTCACAGCTGATTCAAGTCCTAGTTATCTAGCCTTGTTAACTATGGAATCCATGCTTCTCACCGTACACCTATCACTTCCTCAGAAGATCGTTATTTTATTAGCACAATGGCACATAAGCGAGATCCAAACTTACAAATGAATCTCAAAGCATATAAATGACCTTCAAGTATTTTGTTTCCTTTGCAATACCCCATGCAATCAACCAGCTTGGGTTTATTTTTTTACTGCTGACTGTAGCCAATCTGACCTGTTAGCAAATTCAATACCAAAGACTCACTAGTGTATGCATCTAAAACCAGGCTAAAACCATCCAGCTAGGTGTACTAGACTGAAGGAGAGCTTAAGCACCCTTTGCCTGCATTATTTTGGGTCTCTGGAGCCTGAGTAAGCTCCAGGCCTCTTTGGGGCCAGCAGGGGTTATTTAGCTGGTTTTGCATTTTGTCCACAACTGTCCTGTGGACATAATGAAGCTATCATGCCCACTGAAAGAAAGGAAAAACAGGAGAGAGGCAGTATAGCCAGCAGCAAAGGGAGTCCAATCCTTCAGGGAGCTCACACCTTCAGGTCAGTCCTACCCACACAGGTGTCACACAGGGGACAGCATGCGCATACTGAAGCATCTCCCCAAGTGTCTTGCAAAACCGTGGTTGGCAAAGACAGGGCGTTGGGCTGCCTTCCATCTGTTTCCGGTGGCCACAGGGGTCATGCACAGGAGTGGGGGAACTGTGAAATGCTTAAAGGGGGTAAAAAAAGGAAGCATGACCGATGCTGGGAAGAGAAGTGAGGCCTTCTCTACTCTTCACGGGTCCTACACCCTAGCACTCAGACGAAAACATGCAGCACTTTTGACGGAACAAAGACTTGCTGAGGGAAGAGGAGTTTTAGCAGCCGCTCCAACCTAAGGATTTCTCTGCGACCTTAATTTTTACCATCTTTGAGGAGGCCAGGGGTGAGACGGCTATAAATGACAGCCGACTTCAGGAACGCCCACTTTCCAAGTTTTAAACACTTACCTTCCTCCTAGAACCTCTTCAGGTAACTAGCTTCCACTCCTTTGCACTCCACCCACCCCACACACCCCAAGTGCTACGAGGCCAGGTTCTGAGCAACCACTCTCAAGCCCGCGGTCAAGCCAGGGGCCCTGACATGGTCCCAGGACGTCTCTCAGGAGGCTGGAGGGGGAGCGTGAGGCTTCTGGCTTCCACTGGTGCCTCACGGAGGGCTCTGCCAGCTTCCAGACCTGTGACTGCTCAGGTCACTAGCCCGCTCCAACGGGGCGTCCCCGCAGAGGAAGCGGGGAGAAGCCCCCCGACCCCGAGTGGCTAGGGAGTAGCGCCAGGGACAAGAGGCGCTCAGGTGTCGCCCCCCACCAAACGCCCCCCGCCCCGACCTCCGCCTCAGCCCCCCTTCCCGGCGCGCTCACTCCTCCCCCACCCCGCCCCGCTCGCCCAGCCACTGTGGGGGCTCTCACCGCCGAAACGCTTCCTGCAGGAGGCTGCAGCCGGGGTCGGCCTTGGAATAGGGGTCGTGGCCGATGTAGAAGTTCTCGGGGGAGAGGTAGAGCTGTTTCGGGGACAGCTGCACCGACAGCGGCATGGGCCACAGCCCCAGGCTCTCCGCGGCGTCGTCACCCGAGGCCCGCGCCGCCAGCGCCAGCAGCCCGAGCAGCACGACCTGCCCCAGCCCGCGCGGCTCCATGACGTCTCGGGCTCGTGGGTCCGCGGCCGAGCAGCACACGGACCTGCGTCTGGCCGGCAACCCGGATGGAGGAAGCGCGTGGGCGGGTTATCCCCGAGCAGGAGGCGGGGCGCCCGCGAGACTCCGCCCCCAGGCCTGGTGGGGCCGCCCCTCGCCCCGCCCGCGCCCGCGGCGCGCGGGGAAACCCAGGCTGCACACGAGGCGTTCCTGGTTGGGGCGACTTCGAGTTAGGACCCGAAGAGGAAGGAGCCGGGGCGACGCAGCACGCGTCCACTCCTCGCTCTGCTGGAGGCAATTCTTTGGTCGCCCGCGGGACGCTGCCTCAGTAAAAGCAGAGAACTCAGGGCTGCGGAACACCCCGATTTCCCCACCCGCAAAGCAACTCCGGTGTCGCTTGGTTTATTCGCTCCTTTAGCTGGACTTTTCTACACCGATAAACTGAGTTTCAACCAACAAAGCCCCGGCCGATCTGCCGAGGGCGGAGTTTGGAACATATGGAGCCTAGTCCTCTGCAGGATTGCCAAGAGAGGCTATCTTGACCGCGCAAAGATGAGGACTTCTTTTCACGTCAAAAGATTAGGCACGTGATACAAAGAAGAAATGGACTTGTAAGGACAGATTATTATTGTCGGGCTGTAGTTTTTAAAAACAGCTTAAAACATTCTATTGCGGCCCTCCCTGGTGGTGCAGCGGGTTAAAGCACAGCACTAAGAAGTTTAAGCCACTTCCGCATGAGTTCGATTCCCGCCTGCCCCGGAGGTGACCACATGGCGAGCCAGACCTCTCCTGACCCGCCCGCTGCTCCCCTCAGCAGTGTACTTCGTCGATCTGCCTGTTCTGCTCCCCACTCTGTCTCTGGTGAAGCCTCTCACCACTCCTGCACCTCTGGCCTGTGTCCCAGTTCTGTATGCACAAATAAATAAATCTTTTTTATTTAAAAAAATTCTATTGCAAAATACAATAAAGTGTCAAACATTTTATTCAACTCAGTAACTAGGCTATTACTACAAAGCTAATTCTGGTTTAAAGACAATTTAATAAAGCAATGTTAGGATATAAGTTGCCTAACTAGTTTAAAAACTAGTTAGTGGCTATCCTATAGCCACTCAACTCAACCATCCGACCCTGGGTTACCCAAGTTTCAATAACGAAAAAAAAAAAAAATCACTTATAATGACTTCCTGCAAGTTACTTAAAGGTTTATTTGTGTCAGGTCTATTTGCAATATTTTGACATAAAACATCAGCTATAAAAGCAAACATGAATAATTAGACCCAGTGTGGCAGTGATTCAGATATATATATTGAAACCCAAGCTAAATAGCTAAATTGGGGTCAGAACACAGAAAAACAAAAGGAAGGAAAACTTCCCTAACTTTTATCTGAGACTGGCCCAGAGCTTCTCCAGGCCAAGGGGTCAGATAGACTCTTCTCAGTAGGGTCAGAGTGGCCACTTCCACTCTGTTGTGTGGTTTGTCAAGACCCTGGGAGCCAGGAGGTCTGCTTCCATACTTGAGGAATGCCAGTTGTTTTTGGCAGAAAGCTGTGAGGGCCCTTCAGGCTAGAAGCAGCTGTTGGCCTGAATTCTTAGCTCTTCCCTAATCAGAGACCATCATATCCTGAGGTTCTGCCCCTTTCCTCAATTACAAAAGCAATCACTGCTCCCTGCCTCATGGCCTAGAGGTCACAAATGGGCTTTATCCATTTGTAGGCTTATTGGGAAATGTGTTGTCTCTAAGAATCTCACCTTTACTCTCAGAGTAAGAATGAGGTCACCCCCTCCTTGTCTGTCATATAAAGTCTTCTCCTTTGTTTCATTAATGGCCCTGGTTTCAAAATGCAGAATAAATAGTTCTGGTCCACACCATTATTCTTTAGAATTTACAATCATGTAAATTCTCCATATGTATGTTGTTACAATGATTGCTTTTTCTTTGCAAACCTGTCCATATGTTACAGGGTGGTCTCCAGGAAAAGGGGGGTTCCAGGTTCTCTGTCCCCCACCCCCAAAGGAAGGCAACCTGGAGGAGGCATAGGGAGCAGAAAGACATTTGAAGAGGCTGCACTTGCTCTCAGCCTTAGATTGGTACAAGGGACTTGGGGAAATCTTGAAGCAGACACGGATGAGAGATACCTTAGGAGGTTAACAATGGCAGCCTATATCTTGACCTAGGTTTTGACTTTGCTCTATTTTTTAGAGACTTGTCTGGCCCCTTTTGCCCCCTCTTCCTATGGGTCCCCAAGAAAAAGTGACTTGGACTTGTGGCAAACTTTTGGACCTCAGCATTCCTGCTTTGGGCCAACCCTGTTTGGCTGGGCATTCACCCATGAGGGGACGGACAGGTGACTTTGGGTGTTTGATTTGGAAACTATTCTTTCCCTTCTTCTCTCTCTATTGCACACTAATTGTATTACAATTCCTTTCCATGAAGGTCTTATGCACTACAATATGTTTTGTTTTGATATGGTGGATAGCGCAGAACCTATTTAGAGTGGGCAGATTTGAGGGCCCCAGGTTACCCCTCCCCCTGTCCTCTAAGAGGTGTTTGCACTACTCATCCAGCCTGACAAGAATGGAGGGTAGGGGTGATTTTCTTTGTGTATCAATAGGTGCTAAAACAGAAGTTCAAAACTTCATAACTTACCTGAAGAAGATTCTTCATATACAAACTTCCCTTTAACCTGCCAACAAACCCCCACTGCGTCCATATTTCTTAGTCCCAACTTGCTTCTTAGCCAATAAAATGTAATTCTTCTCAACCCTAGCCTCCAAAACCTATATAACCTCATTCCCTTTTCTAACTAGGAAGGCAGATTTTAGTTGGCTTGATTCTTAAATGGGATCTTTTTTCATTAATGATTCCCTAGGCAGCAAGGACAACCCCTCAAGAAAGCTTATGTCCACTCTCATCCACAATGATGCTGATAAATGATCACTTTCGACAAGCTTGATATCATACCCACCCATAAAGCAGAGCTAGTGAGGTCACGTGACAAACATGGAGTAAGTTGCTGAAGTTTTCAAAAAGGAGGAGCGTTTGCCATCAGCAGCAGAGGCAATGAATTCCAGAACCCACATATCTACTATAGTTAGTATTTTGAAAGGATTGGTGAAAAGCTGCAAGAAAATCTTTCAAAGAATTTTATGGAGCATATTTAAAGTTCTTCCATAAAAGTGTCAGAGTTATTCTCCCATCTTCTAATAATAGCAGAAATTTAATATGCAATTTATATTTTCACGGCTGTTTTTTACTGTTCATTGAAGGCGAATACAGCATGTTTCCAACATTCAGTATCCAAGTTATACTGTTGCAATTACCAATTGTTTAAAGAAGACTTCACTTTGTATATTAGTTGTTGTGTAAAAAACTAGTTCAAACTGTCAGAGCTTAAAACAACAAATAATAAATGAGCTACCATTTCTGTGGGTCCGGAATTCAGTAGTCTTAACTGGGTGATTCTAGCTTAGAGTCTCTCATGAGGTTGCAACCATCTGAATACTTTCCCCTGAAAGCTTGGCTAATGCTCAGAATATGATTATTCTAGGCTAACTTGCATGACCTGAGTTCCTTGCCTGAGGTCCTTAGTTATTGCCACATGAACCTCTCCATAGGGCTTCTTGTGTATGACCACAACGTGGCAGCTGGCTTCCCCCGGTCAAATGATCTGAGGAGAGAGCAAAGAAGTTAGGACACCTTTATAAGACTTACAGCTTATCAGTAACATTTCTACTACATTCTATCCCTTTGCAGCATCTCCTTAGAAACAAATCAGACTGTCATGCAGTCTAAAAAGCATTTCCTTAAAACTAGGAATCATGATTCAGGTTTATAACCAAGGGGTGATCCCAAGGTATGTTCCACCAACATCAGGGAAGAAGAAGGAAGTTTTAGAGGATCTAACAGTGAAGTGGTCTAAGTTCAGTCCATTTCTTTGAAATTATAGGTTGCTTGAAGGAGTCTTCAGACAGAATGCTGCAATGGGGGATCTGTTGTTACATTCAACAGATGACCTTCCATTTTCTTTCTTAACCATTGGTAAAGTGTTAACAGGCTGTTGGTGTCTCTCATAGCCGTTATAAAGGAGAAATCAGTGAATGGGCTTTCTTCAAAATTGCACACAGGGCGTTGAATCAGGCTATAGACATTTTTACCTAGAAGTCTCATCATGGAAGTTATAAACAAGATGGAGTCTGACTGATACAAAATGAGTTACTAAGTATAGTCTACATTCAAGAAGAGGGGAATTAGGCTCCACCTTTTAAATGAGGGAGTCTACTCTCTAAATCATAAATTCTATACACCTCCTACAGGTAAAATACATTCCCTTCTTTCCAAGAACCATAACGTCTCACCTCTGTAGATCATTAGCTTGAAATCCAGAAGCTGGCATTTGTGCAACATGGGAACTATTAAGTTCCCTCAAACTGGGAAGGTAATTCGAATCCAAAGAACAAAACAGGCAGATCTGTTAATTACTCCAAAAGTTTACTAAGGGAGACTTACATAGAGGGGTCCTTGGTAGCAGAGACAGTAGATAGGACTTGAGGTCAAGGCAGAACCCATCATTCCACCCACCCTAAATGGGGTCTTTGTATATCCTGCCTAGTACATGGGATGGGTTTGGCATAATCCACTGGCCCCAGATGCTCAGGGGGGATGTGGCATGTATGTCTTAGTTCTCTAGTTAATATGGTATACATCGATCACAGATAATACCATAATACCTAAATATTAGTACAGATTAGTACAAGTATGGATCTATACCATTGTAGGAAATAATGGTAAAATTGGCTATCTTCCCAGAGTAGGACAGTAATCAGTCACCTGCCTAAAATGATGTCTATAGAAGATGGAGTTCCTTTGACTTTCCATCTAAGTTAGTTCTGGGCATAAATGATACATAGATGTATCATACATATGTATAGCTATAGCTGTATGAATAGGTGTATCCTTAAATATCCTCAAGTAAAGACTTGTGAACTAAAGAGATAGATATTTGCTCCCCACACATGTAATATTCAATGCTGGAACAAGCATAGGATGCTCA